GTAGTGAAGCCCTCAAATTTGGTGCGGTGTGTGTGTGCCACACATTGGTGCCGGGGATGTGATATCTTAAGTCACCAAAGGTGCGTCTTGTTGGGATTTTTTCTGTGATTTTGCAGACTTGCTTTGCTCTTGGGCATGTACGTTCGGGCCAAGCACTTAGTCACTCCTAACTCTGCATCCATGTAGGTGCTGCGTACAACAGGACTTTTCGCGTTTTGTTCGTCTTTGAGCTTCAATATAGACTGCTCCTGTAGGATAGGATAGAGCCAGTAGATGTATTGAGAGAAACGAATCATTGCTTGTGGGACAGCAGTACTGCTGTACATACTAGTTGCTGCAATCCACGTTTCGGCTTCGCGGGAGGCTGCCCACCGTCTGAGAGAAGGACTTTGATGAAACGAGCAAGCCACTACACACACCTGAATAGACACCCCAGCGATTATATGGGCCTGCTGGCGCCCACAGGTCGTGATCCTATCGGGGTCGCTATTGGCCCATCCCGGCTGGGGTGTCTCGCACATGCAGCCTTTCGCGGCCGTCACCGCTTGCTCCTTCAGCAATGCCCGGACTCCACCCGGGTTTCCCACGGCCGCCTGCAGCAGCGCCTTCGCAAGAGGCGTCTGCTTGGCAGCACGCGGGGGCTCGTCTGCCAGGAGGGTGGCCAGCTCCTCATCGAACTCGTCGTCTTGCGAACCATTGCCATCGAGGCTAGGTGTTGATGCCGCAGCAGCAGCTGCTCCTTGTCCTTCCGCAGCATCGGCGACATCGGCGACGCCCTCGGACACAACGAGCCAGGGATCGTTGTCTTCTTCACTCGTCTTGGCACGTTTGGCCGTGGGCGTGTCGATGTCAGACATGACTCTCGCGGGGTATGGCAGGCAATGTGTACCGAGCTGCTGTCTCTCTTTAGTGACAGGGGCACAGGTGGTGGTGCCGTATGGATTTCAGGCTGAACTCGACGCGATTTTTGTCATTTTGAAATCATCGATTAAAATCACGCGCATACAGATGACGGAATCACGTGGAAGTTTTGAACCGGCACATGCCGCCCATGAACACGCCTCACAGCAGTCTCTCCACAGAACCAAAAAAAAAACTATCGAACCCAGTGCTGCCTTAAGCACCCCGACACAGTGGGCCTCAGCGGGAGACAAGCGGGGGGACAGCAGTTCGTCGCGGATGAGAACGGCGTGTTGCTCCGGAACAGGGACGGCATCCTCCAGCGGTGGGCGAGATTCTCCAGCACCCTACTCAACACCAAATCACCCACCCTGAACCCAGACATCATCGAACGAGTGACGCAGCGGCCAGTGACACGTGACACTCAACGATTGGGAGATGTGCCAGAACTCGAGGAGGTGGCACGGGCAACGAAAGGCCTCAAGAACTGGAAGGCACCCGCGGCCATGACTCCCTCCCTGCCGAGTTGCTCAAGATCGATGACGACGAACCTTCGTCCTGGGACACCCCTGTAAGTAAACTTGATCGACTTCGAAAGTCGAGAGGGAAGGGATTGCTGTACCCTTCCCGCAATAAAAATATCTCAGGCAAGAACCACAGGAGGGGGTCCAACCCCCCCCTCCTGTGTGTGTGTGTTTTCGTCCTATTTATTATGGCGACAGTCCCCCCATTTTTCGTGGTGAGACGTGTACTACACTTCTCAGCGTAGTATGTAGAGTACGATACTTTTCAGTGTATTTTTCGTACAACTACAACTATCCAGGGTCACACAGGCGGGGAGGGGGTAAACACCGGGGCCTTTTTCTTCTTTTTATTTCATACCCCACCTTCCTCCTGCGGTGCGTGCTGAATTTTGTTTCTATCGCGAGAAGGGTCCAGCCGTCCCTTTCCCTCGTCAACGGTGCTAACGTCGAAGTTTGGTACTCACGAGAGCTTGTAAGCTATATTTCGCTTTCACCCGCACATGTCGTAAATTTTTCACCCCATGGGGGTTCGAACTCACGACCTCTGCAACTAGCGGATTACGAGGATACCACTAGACCACCGGGGCGACCGGTACCTCCTGTGTGACCCCGGTTGGGTCGTCTAGCTGGTAGAAGTGGAGGATAGGGGCCAGAGGGGCAGACGATAGAGTCCAATGATGGGAGAAAAACAACAACAACAACAACCTCCATACCAACTTCGTCAAGGTGTGGAACGGAGGAGATATTCCACGAGAGTGGAAGGATGCAACCATCAAGCAAGGTGCTGTACAAGAAGGGTGACCGGTCCAACTGTAACAACTACAGGGGGATTTCGCTATTTTCTCACGTAGGCAAGGTCCCCATCAAGATCATC